TTCGAGACAGGGTTTCTCTGTGGTTTTGGAGCCTGTGCTGGCACTAGCTCTGTAGACCAGGATGGTCTCAAGCAAACTCACAGAGATCTGCCTGCCTCTGCCTCCCAAGTGCTGGGATTAAAGGCGTGCGCCACCACCGCCCTGCTTTTTTTTTTTTTTGCTGTGTTACAAGTTTTAAGTTAACTGTTTTTATGCAGGTTATACAGATTTCTATCTGAACTCAATAAACTTACAAGTCTTTAGGCATAGAAAGTTTACATAATAGACTTACAAAGTTTGATTTATAAGATTTATAACTTAGCAAAATTTTTAGGCAGTTAAATGAAATGAATAGTCTAATTTTTTTCTTGCTGTGTTGCTTTGCTCTCTCTTCCCTGCCACAAAATTGGGTAGGTCACCTAGCATGGGACAGAGAGGAAACTTTTAAATAAGCCAGTTTGGCTCTAGAGAATGAAGAACAATAACCCAACTCCAGAACCAGCTTTTCAATATAGTAGAATATAAAACAATTGTAATATTATCCTCACCCAAAAGACATCCCTGCTAAACTGAATCCAGTGACCAGAAATCTCAGAGATAAGAAATTCTGAGCCCTGGCTATCAAAGCAATGATGGCAAGCAGTGGCAGCAGTGGCAATTGCTGGCGGTGGCAGAGACAGCAAAAATAAAACCAATAAACAGAACACAGACAGTAAAAATTAAACTAAAGACAAGACATTCTGTAATTATTCAGTCACAAATAAGGCTGCACTTTTAGGTTCTAGAACCATGCATGTGCAGACAAACCCTCAGGCAGAAGTGCCCCCCCCCCCAGCACAACCTATGTGCACTCATGCGTGGTTACATCCACTAGGACTCAGCTAAGCCCTTTTGCTCATGCGTGAGCCCTGTCATCTGCATATGACGTAGCCACATCAACCCCCTAGCATGCTCTAGGCAGCTTTTAAAAAGCTGGACACGCCATCTTTCTTTCTTTCTGCACACGGATTCCCCAGGCCCGTACAGGCCCCCTCTAGTAAACTCCTAAGTATGTTTGTTGTGTGTTTTGTGGTTCCTTCTCACTTGTGCCAGGTAATTTCACATACAGATATGAAGCAAGTAAGACACAAAACTAGACCAAGAACCTCAGGGGAGCAGTGTGATGCCTTGCTCTTTGCCTTGGATGGGAGAGTACTAAGTCTCGTCAGAACCCTCTTCATCCCAGGTCAGGATCCCGACAGAACCAGATGTCACAGAAAATTACTATGACCTACCAGGAGAGGCCTCCACAGATGCTTGCTGCTTTTCTCAGTAAGGCAGCTCCCTCTGATAATGTGGGAAACCGGAAGCACACCTGAAGCACAAGAACACCTCTAGGTGTGCACCTCCTAAGGTGTCCCCTCAGTCCCAGAGTCCTGAAGTGAAGGTTGCACTTTGGAATTTGGGTGGGTGGTCTGATCTCTGGGGCCTCCCAAATATTTCAATCCCACAAGGCAAGAAGAAGAACACCCTGCAATTTTGGAGCCAAATTTGAAAGAAGTTTTATTAAATCCTGGCCAGGACTATACCCAAGACCCATGCTCAGAATATGGCACCAAATTACATTAGTCAGAGCTTATAAAGACAAAACCCACAAGTCTACATACTTTTTGCCTCCATCAGATTGAAGGCAAGCATACTTCCTGCCTACGTACCTTCTGCCTATGTGTGAGCAAGAATACACCTTGGGCCATTGGGATAACCACACTTGTTTAAAGAAGCAAAACCACATGGCTTGTTTATTCCATAGAGATGCATAAACAAATGGCAATAAACCAGATGTAATGAATAATCTGAAGTAAACTCACTCCTACCCTTTACACCTGGGAGGGGCCCAAAAGCACAGTCCAAGAATAACTTCATATTTTTAAAGAAATCGAGGTCATAAATTCTTGTCTTGTTTTCTTGGAGTTTTGTCACAAGCACTTGGATCATGTTCCAACAATTGGTTTTCTGCTTCTTTGAGGAGGGGGGGAGCTTATCTCTGGACACAAGGACCAGTATTTAGACAGTAGCAAGGAATTATGGGTTAGGAAAGTGGTAGCAGCATGTTCTCTACATTCCATGGCCTCATCAGTCATGAGTACTTGGCTAAGTTTCCAATACTAGGCAAGACTAATCCTCGCTGGGTACGCATAAGTCCAATTAGTAGCTGTGGGTCGTTCCCCAGGACATAAGTGCCACTATCACATCTAAATGATGTCTTTTTTCCTGTATTCTTTTACACCCCGAGTCCAAATATCTGTTTGGTTTTGAAGGCCTAGCCTCCCAGGTTACCCAATTCACCTGGATAGTCCTACCCAAGGGATTCAGGTATACTCTTCATCTGTTTGGCCAGGCCCTACCTAGGGACCTGCTCCCTTCTCTAGCCCTCAAGCCAAAGTTCTCCAATATGTAAATGACCTCATCTTTTGTGCACTCATAAGGGGAAAAAACCCAAGAAAGAACTAAAACACTTGTCAATTCTCACCTGATAGAGACCACAAGTTATCAGAAAAGAAAGTCCAATTGTTCCAACCACCAGTCAAATCCTTAGGAGGGGCCCTATCTAAAGGAAAGGGGAAATTAGATGAAGACCGTATGTTACCTAACTCTTCCTTCTCTTTGCCAAAAATACTTCAATATCAGGGGGTTTTAGGAAGTACTGGATTCTACAGGCTCTTGTTTCCAAGGAAATAGCTTGACCTCTATATATATCAGCTAATAAAAGAAGCCACACACACACACACACACACACACACACACACATCACATACAGACAAGTGCTTGCACACCCCTCTCTTTTCACCTCCGTCTGCTCCCTCTCCTCTTGTAAAACTTTAAGACAATTCTGAGGACAATTCTGAGCCCTCTCAGTCTCAGCAGTACTGCTCCCCCACTCTCTGGGAACCAAAGATCTAACAAGTACACGTGCACGTACTGAAATGTTGGGAACTTTTCATCTCCCTGAGTCCTTGTGAATGTTCCCCAAATAGAACTCAGTTATTGAATAGGGGCAAGATAACCCTTAGGTGTTGACTCAGTTACTGATGTTTTGACTCAGTCCCTGGGAAAGGGGCAAAGTGACCCTCAGATGTTTCCTCTTACCTCACCTGATCTGGCAACCGCTCTCCAGCCAATTATTGGTAATAGCCCTTTAAATAAGCAAATCATAATAGTTAAAGAGCAACCCCCAGACACCCACCTTGTTTCTGTGGCTTTTTCCTTTAAAAGTAGTCTGTACCAGCCATTCGGGGTCTTTCTGGCTTCTCAAATACTGCAAGACCCTGTCATGACAGAATTAATAAAATCCTCATGATTTTACATCAACTCTTGGGGTGACACCTCCTGGTAGTTGGGCTCTAGGGTCCAACACTCTCACCCCCTCTCCTGTCTCCTCTCTGTCCTGTTTCCCTCTCTATCTTTCTCCTCTCCCTTCTTTTTCATCCTCTTCCCCCTCACTTCCCCTCCATCTCTCCATCTCCCTCTCCTCCTCTCTCTCCCCTCATCCTCTCCTCTCCCCTTTCTATACCCTTGTTCTCCCTTCCTTCTTCCCTCCCCATTTTAGGGTTTCTATTGCTGTGAAGAAGCACCTTGACCACGGTAACTCCTAGAAAGGAAGACATTTGATTGGGGCTGGCTTACAGTTCATGCGGGAAGCATGGTGGCATGAGGCAGACATGGTGCTGGAGAAGGAGTTGAGAGTTCTGCATTTGGATTGGCAGACAGCAGGAAAAGAGACTGGGAGCCACACTTCCTACAACAAGGCCACACCTTCTTCAACAAGGTTATACCTAATAGTGCCACTCACTGTGGGCCTATGGGGGCCATTTATTTATTTATTCATTAAAGATTTCTGTCTCTTCCCCACCGCCGCCTCCCCTTTCCCTCCCCCTCCCCCAATCAAGTTCCCCTCCCTCGTCAGCCCAAAGAGCAATCAGGGTTTCCTGTCCTGTGGGAAGTCCAAGGACCACCCACCTCCATCCAGGCCTAGGCTCCCACAAAGCCAATACGTGCAGTAGGATCAAAAACCCATTGCTATTGTTCTTGAGGTCTCAGTAGTCCTCATTGTCTCCTATGTTCAGTGAGACCGGTTTTAACCCAGGCTTTTTCAGACCCAGGTCTGCTGGCCTTGGTGAGTTCCCGATAGAACATCCCCATTGTCTCAGTGTGTGGGTGCACCCCTCGTGGTCCTGAGTTCCTTGCTCGTGCTCTCTCTCCTTCTGCTCCTGATTTGGACCTTGAGATTTCAGTCCAGTGCTCCAATGTGGGTCTCTGTCTCCTTTCATCGCCTGATGAAGGTTAATATTCAGGAGGATGCCTATATGTTTTTCTTTGGGTTCTCTTTCTTATTTAGCTTCTCTAAGAACCCGAATTATAGGCTCAATGTCCTTTATTTATGGCTAGAAACCAAATATGAGTGAGTACATCCCATGTTCCTCTTTTTGGGTCTGGCTTACCTCACTCAGGATAGTGTTTTCTATTTCCATCCATTTGCCTGCAAACTTCAAGAAGTCCTTGTTTTTTACTGCTGAGTAGTACTCTAATATGTATATATTCCATACTTTCTTCATCCATTCTTCTATTGAAGGGCATCTAGGTTGTTTCCAGGTTCTGGCTATTACAAACAATGCTGCTATGAACATAGTAGAGCATATACTTTTGTTGTATGATAAGGCCTCTCTTGGGTATATTCCCAAGAGTGGTATTGCTGGGTCCATGGGTAGGTTGATCCCGAATTTCCTGAGAAACCTCCACACTGCTTTCCAGAGTGGTTGCACAAGTTTGCATTCCCACCAGCAATGGATGAGTGTACCCCTATGGGGGCCATTTTTATTCAAACTATAACACTCCTTTTTTTTCCCCTCTGTCCACTCTCTCCTCCCTCCCTCCCTCCCTCCCTCTCTCTCTCCTGTCTCTTCTCCTTTCTCTCCTATTCCTTCTCTGTGTTTATGTGTCCCTCTGTCTCTGACTCCCTCCCTGTCTCCTTCCTTCTCCCTTCCCCCTCTTCTCTCTTCTATACCCTCCCCAGACCTTACCATTCCTGTATCCATAAAGACCTCCAGAATGGAAGCTCCAAAAGTCGTACTTTCCTAACAATGAAAATAATCGTTTTAAAAGCTCTAGTTTCTCAAACAACATGAAGAGATGCATAGCTGTAAATAACACTCTCCTAGACTCACCTCCAGAGGGAAAAGTGCCAAGAGTTCTGTACCAGGCCACTTCTGGTCCAAGACTTACCCTGAAGTGGAAGGGACAAGGCATTAAGGGCTTTGTTCTAAAGCCATGTTTACATAACCTCTTATACAACTTCAACAAAACATTTGCCTTCTGCTATACCCACTTTTGTTCCTAAGTCCCCGGACGGTTCCCCGAGCAGCTAGCGGCTGGGAATGCTGGAGAGTCCGGGCTGCAGGCGGGCAGCGAGCTCTGGGAGCAGCCAATCCCAAGGCAGAGACTCGCAGTTTCCCAGGAGAGCCACCCAAGCAGGCGGGTGTGAGTGGGCAGCGAGCTCACAGTGGGTCCCCGGTGCTGAACCCCCGGAGCGGCTCGCGGCAGGGGCGGGTAGACAGCAGACAGAGACATGGATAGACACATGTAGAGTAAGATTTAATATTTATTCACAGGGTTATAGAGGGGAAAGGAAGAAGGGAGAGAGAGAGAGAGAGAGAGAGAGAGAGAGAGAGAGAGAGAG